TTGTATGGTGAAGTGCCGATGGTCGTGCCAGCGGTGTTGGCCACGATCTTTCACACTGTAAGTATTGGGGGCTCATTTGGTCATGGGGACGATGAGAAATACCTTGTGGAAAGTGTAGAGCTCTGGGCGGGATGCAATTGCTTGTGAATTGTGACCGAGAATGACTTTCGCCGCGGCGGCGCTGTTGATGACCAACACGGGAATGTTGCCAAGCTGCACTTGGAACACCGAACCAAACTCCTTCGCCCACTCCCTGTACTTCTCCGCAGCGTCATGTCTGACCTGCCATAGGTTTCCAATGAGGGGAAAGCCTTTTGGTCCGTCAAAGTTGGATAACCGCGCCTTGGAGCGGATGAATTCGTTCGCGATCACGTAAACCAAAAATACCAAGCTCAGGCCCTTGGCCATGAACTCGATGGGCCGGTCTGTCGCCTCCCGGGCGAGGATCTGAAGTAGGTCCGCGATGGCCATGGTCGTAGCACTGACGGTGTTGACGAGTGGTCGACGAGTTGGTGCTGAGATGAGATCGTCTTAAGGAGTCTGGATGTTCTGAAGGATGGCCAACTTATTACCACCGGCCGACCCGGGGAAATTTATAATATACAATGTTTCATTGGGCGGAAGGTTCGTTCACTCCCACCGGTTCAAGGAAATCTCGAAGTTTGTGTGACATCCCTCCCGTACCGTAGCATGGTGAGCATGTGGCGGAATTCCAGATTCCGCTTCCGCCCCTACCGAATTCCGGCACAGCGAATGTTTACGGAGTGATCACGCGGAACCACAACTAAAGTAACGATTCGATCGCAATTGGTACATCAGAGAATGGAACTTTCAGTAATTAAGACTACAAGGTATAATATGAACCAGTCACAAGGAGCGGTGATAGTCTATTCTCTTTGCAATTTTGTCGCAGGAAATTCCAAGTAGTCAACTTCGTGTTTTGCCATAGCATCTCGAAACGCACCATCCAATCCAAAGCGAATCTGGGTTCTGGTTCACTCATGTGACTATCTCACGCGCTGGTTCAACGTGCCTAGTTCTAGACATTCATCTTACAGATAGGCCAACCGCGGCTTTCATTTCCAGTGCCTCTTCTCCCGTAGGACACGACCGTAGCCACAGACTGCCGATATCACATTTAAGTCAACATGTGAGAAGGGAAACCGGCTCATGAATCTAGGCACCCAAGACACCATTCCGACTTTGGTACTCTACTCCCCGAACTGAAGGCTCATTCCTGAATAATCGTTCGTTTGTCAGGGCCTAATACCACTTACAACACTGGCAGTACTTGAAAATCCCAAGTTTGCGTAGTACTATGTCGGGTTGCATTGAATCATCTGCTGTTGTTCTAATACGCTAATTAATTACTACACAGAGGCTTTCGAACACCGTGTCATTACTGACATGAGCTAGAGGTGGCTAGACGCCGTCGATGCTTGGAGAACGCCCATGAAATAAGGGCCTATCTCACGACACCCCCAATCCGAACCCCACTAACTCGTGGTAACTATCGGTGCACCTGTGTCAAGGGTGAACGAAAAGAATTCCCTCTAGCCCAGTGGCCCTCTAGCTATGAGGCCCCCTGCAGCTGCGCGTGTTGCATAGGATCTTCTAGGGGCTCTACTGGCTGTGAGGGCAGCTCGAGGGAAGAGGGGGTCAGGGGCTCAGCCCCTCTTCAGCTGATTGTGTTAAAAGTCCTCAGCTCACCGACATACACCGAGGTGTGCGGCGGAGAGGGCGGTGGCTTGGAGGTATCGTATGTCTCATGAGGTCAAACGACTGGGATCTTACGTCGTCCCGGTCGAATGAGTGTCGAGTCCGAAAAAGCAAGCAAGGCTCGTAGGCAAATCAACTTGCAGTCCGACAAAACCCCAGTCCAGTAGAGTATGGGGCCGACAAAAATCGTCGAATAAGGTCCTGAGCCGAAATAATGGGATGTGCACTTCCATAAGTCGCTCCATGTACACACCATTTATTGGTCCAATTTTCGAAGCGAGGCGTTGTGTAACCCGCGGAACGGTGCGAATGACATGTACCCAGCTGAGCCACAGCCAACATCTGAAACAACGTATCTTCTCAAGATGAACATAAAACCTTTCACTCTTTCGTCGTCTGAATCCTGGTCCCACGCTACATCAGGCTCATCTCAATTAGTCGACCAAAGGACCATGGATTCTTTATTCACCCCGCACATTGCGGAAGACGCAGGACTGCAGCTATGCTTCGATGCAGAATGGCCCCTCCTCGATCACGACCCAACAAACGAAGACTCGGGCCTTGATCTGGCGCCGATAGAGAGCATCTGCAATTTAGAGAGCATAAAATGGAACGCGGAAACGATTGGGATTGAGCCAGAAGCTGGAGAAGGTAAGTCCAGGCCTATTACTTGGTTCAATGTTCAATGCGACATGCCATACTTACTTATGGAAACTACGTAGCGGGCTCGCACAGCTTTGACACCATCACCAAAGGTCTCATCGAAGAGATGATGGAGGATTACCGGTATAATCTCATCGGACAGGAGATGGAGGTCTTCAACGGCCTGTTAGCGAACAACGTAAGCTTCCGCGTTGGAAAAATGAAAAACCCGCTGCTATTTAACTTACCTTCCGAGCAGACAACACAATTCTCAGTCCAAGAAGCAATGTTCAACGAAGAACTGCCCAGCGCAGGATTCAACGGTGTGACTGATGACTTGGGTTTGATCGACTGGGATAGGTATATGGACCTACCCTCTGGTCCAGACATGTCAACCTGGCAAGATTCAACCACAGAAGGCATAAGTGCTCAATCAGAACAGATGTATACACAATTGTTTGTCGCAAACAGACAAGACAACGTGGGTTTCACGCCACAGGAGTTCCACGCGGAGAATGCCCATGAGACCTCCAGTCACTCTTCGACAAATCTTGCCACGGCATCTGCTGCTTTGATCCCAAATATAACCCCAATATATACTCCCTCGGTAAGAGCATGCTACATCCGATGGTTATTTTAAAGACTGACGTTTCGCTAGACTTGCCTACCCGAGAAGACAAGGACAACCTACCGATGCTATGAATGCCATATTCGCAAAAAGCCGGTAAGACACGAATGAGAACTTGCTGAAACTTACGGATCCGTTTATCGTTAACACTTGATAGTGTGACGGCAAACCCGGCGTTCGTTGCAGCACGTGTGAGAAAACCTGCAAAAGGAAGAGCAAACGCCCGAGCGTTAAAGGCATCATGCATAACGGAACTCCCATTCCTCAGTTTCTCAGAACTCAGATCGGTATGAAGACCCTCAAGATCTTGAGGAATGCAAAAGTAATAGACGCTAACATACGTCAAATAGACAAAACCTACGATTTGTTGAACAAGCTCCGCCAGCATGTAAACAGCGAGCATCCTCCGAAAGCTGTACCCATGATCAACGATCTTTTCCGAGGGAAGTGGAGCTTATTGTGCCATCTTGACGATGAATGCGGTCATTTCTCTCGAATGAAGTCCTCGAAATCTGCCAAAACCATCGTTGTTCGACCTGCCATTGGCGTGCCGCCCTCCGCCAGACATAGCTCCAGCAACAGCCCTCCTTTTCTTGACTATCAGGAGATGAGCCAATTCGCTTTTGAGAGGGCACCGGAAAATCTGATACAACAACTTCCAGATGTGGATGTAAGTTATCCATTGACGTATTCAAATTGTTGATTGGCTAGCTGACATGAGAGTAGCAAGAAGTTGCCACTGACGCCTGGAAATGCGCATTCTTCATCAACGCTTTGTACAATTGGAATCGCCATCAATTGTTCGTAGACAGATTGACCACCTTAACGTCGTTAGGGCATGATCACCCTGCAGTCTACCAGGTACTGTTCTTGGAGTTCATGTACACATTGTCCTATCATGTCGCTGAGCTGCTTCATCGCCTCCTGAAGAAGGTAGTGGAGTGTTCAGGTACTGTGGAGCTTGCAGAAAGCAATCCCCTCTCTGTATCATGCGCTTTGCATTGTGGCAGACGCAATCAAACGTTGCCGGCGCCCAAAGGAATCCGTCATCAAACACCCCAAAAAGGAGGAAAAACATACCGCTGGAGACTATCTTGTTTGTGTCCTGTCCCTTTAACGCCGAGGGTACGCTGACGACTTGCAGGCCGACTTTGTTGCTGGACTTCACTCAATATCCCACGACACGTTTGATTCCGTCCAGCATTACAGATGGGACACCGCTGCTCAACGATGCGGAACGGTTGACGACATACAACATCGGCGGCTGTTTGATCAAATCTTTGACAATGCTAAGTCTTTGCGAGTCGTAATGTCGGTATCATTTGAATGGCAACCAGAATACCCCGCTGGTTTCAATCAGTATGTGCAAAATTTGGGCAGTTGAAACCCATTGCTGACTTTCGATAGACCGACCATCGATGGGTACTTGTTTTCTGACGCTTTTCACTTCAAGCCTTTGGAGGGCGCCGGGGATATCCTCTACGCACTCATTCACCCAGAATCGCACAAGACAGACGGTGAATCGATTTCGGCAAAAGCGGTACAATCGCTAGATCCTCCGCATTCCGGAAAATCCTCGAGAGCTTGCTATGGAAAGGTGTCCTTAGCATCAAGTACTATGACATTGGTGGATGGAAAGACGAAGGGTACGGACGAAGCGGTAGAACAACCTGTCAGGAAGCGGATGGCATCCAGTACCGACGAGCTGAGTGATCGCTCAACCAAGTTGTAGGCTTCTTGGGGATGAGATGTTCAGAATGTGATCATCGCATCATCATTCAGCAAATACAGGTTATGGCGGACTGGGCTGCTGACAGCAAATTTGGTTTCTTTCATTGCTTAGACTAGCGTGGGACTTGGAGTTTGAAGAGGAAAATTTGTCGCCAATGGCCTCCGGAATCAGTGACTGTTAGATGCGTTGGCTCGCAAATAATACAACACTGCTGATCTCAAAGAAACCTCGTAATCGTGCCGCACCGACTTGACCAAGCGACAAAATTCTTATTGCATCTTATAACATATCTACAAACAAATGAGACACGTTCAGCATTGACGAGTCCAGAGCATTCTCTGGTAGACTGTCATCAGGATGTCCCTCCGCGGACTCAAGCGCATCGCCACAAATGCCGAGTAATGGATATGAGCTCGTAAAGTCTGGCGCACTACCCATCGCGTTGAAGAAATCGCTCAGTTCCTGTGCCATCTGCACGTCGCTGATGGGCTCCCTTGCCCCAGTTTGCCAGACCTCAGACTCTCCCACTCTTGAATCCTCCTCGTCGAGATGCGTTGTGTTGTGAGGCGAGATATCGACGCCGCTTGAAGAGGGCGGAGGAGTTGCAACTGCGCTGCGCATGGCACGCGTCTCCCTGTCCTCGTTTGTCTGGGGAGGATTCAAGCCCAGTTTCCTCCACGCAAGCCGAAGATCACTGACCATCTTCCACAGTCTGCTTGATACGTAGGACTTGGCGCTGAGACCGCGGATCAGATCTAGCGCGATGTGAAACTCGTCGCGCACTGCGGCGCCGTACTCTGAAGGTGCGAGTGCCACGACCAAGAAGATGACACCAAGAGCAGACACCAAGAAGTGATTGAAGCACATTTGTTGCGTCTGGTAGATGTCCGTGGATTTGTTCAACGAGTTCAGTTTCTGAATGGTGTCCTTGGCGAATCTGATGAGCGATTGGACTTTGGATTTGTTGATCTTGAGGCTCGACGGGGAATGCAAGATTGGCTGCAGGAGGAGGATCTTCATCTGGTTCGCTCGCAGATGTAACAAAAGCTGGAGCCGTTGAGGGCCTCTTGTTGACCCTGTCCAGTCGTTCGATTCCCATTTTGGGCTGAGCTTCAGACTCTCTGGTAGCTCTTCATACCACTGACCAATCAGGTACAGCAGATAGGATATCTCGTCATCCCGAACTGCACCTGTTGTCCGGGCAGAGTTGTAGGATGTGGACCAGACTTTGTTGCCGATCTGGCTGTAGGCCACCATGGCTTTGAGGTATGGAACGTCATCGTCCTACGAGAGTCAGCTTTCATCTCTCCATGTATCAGTCTGCTGGGAACTTACCGGCTCTGGCAGGTTTCTATCGACATCGCAATGATGCATGACGAATGGTAGGCCGGCACCGAAGCCCCACCGACGGTCTAGCGTGTAGACACACCAGAAGAGTCTCAGCGCTACCTTCCGCGCCTCTACCTCCTTGAAGATTCTGTTGACTGTGCCTGATTGGTGAAGGCCAATCTCTAAACACCAGCGAGCGGAAACGCCGACCAGCCTCCAGGCCTGCAGGTCATCCCCAGTGAGAAAGCTGTAAACAGCCTATAAACGCGTTAGCATAAGTACAGGAGTCTACATATGATGCTTGACTGACCAGAAGAACGAATAGCATCGTGTTCTTGACGCTTGCTGGCTCCCACAACTTGTCGTGTGATGACTTCCTCACTCCGGTAAAGAGGGCTTTCCCAAGCTGGCTGGATCCTCCTGCTTCAACGATTGATCCCGCAGAAATGACCATCTTGAGTAAATCCAGATCCAAGGGATCAATGACGGTGGGACCCGGCATAGCAGTGAACGCGAAGCCGTTCTGCGAACCACTGGCCATGGCCCTGTAAAGGACGCGCACATTCTCGATGATGCGAGTGATGTCAAGGAAAGGATACTGGATGCCTATCTCGACCTCGTAGAGATTGCAGAGCCTGATGGCTTCTTTCTCATCAATCAGCCATAAAGGGTCGACGGACCCGACACCGAATTCCAGGGGTGTGTGGATGGAAGGGGAAGGCGGTCGAGTGCGATCTGCAGACGATGAGGCACCCTGCTTATCACTATCAGATATGGCGATGCCCTGCGCACGAAGATGTGTCCGGGCCAGACTGATGTTGAACGTGTAGCTTGCTGACGGCTGGCAGTTGTCCTGGGTTTCAGGGGGCTCAGTCGTGGGCAAGGCTTGATCTGCCCTTGCAGGATTACTGCCTGGGTCGGTGTAATCTGGTGAGATCAAGCGAGCACGAGAGGCATTGAGAGTCTCATCGAAATGGGGCGAAGAGTGTGTCTGTGAGCTTGACCGCCGGTGGGGAGACTGTTGACGGAGCAGTTCAAGATCGCCCTGCAATGAGGCAACTTGCTCCTTCAAAGACCGAATGGCTTGAGTATCACCATCGCTGCAATCTTCGAGTTAGACAGGAATCATCCGAGCAGACCGGATGGGGCTGAACTCACGTCCCATTTGCTGGGATTTCCCTCTGCTTCTTGGAAGCGGGATAAGCACCTTTGGTGTTCAATTAGCATCTATCAAAGCATATTTTGCAGAGCGTGAGAATGTGGTCTTACAGGTCAATGATTGACGTGCACAGCGTAGACAGGGGCTTCTCCCATTGCACTTGCTCTTTCTCTTTCTACATTCAAAGCTGCAGCATCACCATAACAGTCAGCCACAATATGCCAGAAGGGCCACTGTAATGTGGTACCACTGTCAAGGGTGGTCTTACCATGCTTTGGAGATGTACTTCCCCCTGGTTGCACGCGGCTTGGCTGCAGTGGCATTTCCATTTGCGGTGGCTGGAGACCCGGAACCCGGTGCTGCTTCGGAAGTTGGCGGGTCCATGGCGGAAAGATGAAATGAGGAAAAGAGTTCGTAATCCCTTTTGCTTTTTTCTTTCTCCACGTCCTGCAGGCGGTCTTTCTAGGGGTTGTTGTCCGACAAATGTTGGGTGGCACAGATGGGAGGAAGAATGAGCGGAATTGGTGAACCTCCGCGGTTTTGAATGTTGGGCAATGGCATCCTCCGCCGCACACCCCGCATAGAGCACCCCGCAAGATCCACTGTTATCCTCTCCGGGGTAGAGTTTTCAGGCCGGACAGGGAGGCTAAGGCACTCTGACGTACTGTCCGGCTCAGTGATAGCCGGGTGCTACGTTGGTTACAGCGCTCAGCGGTGAGAACTGGCACCTCTAAGACGGGTCTTTGCTGGGGGAAACAGTACACTACTTGTACAATTAGGAGGTAGATGCTGCAATTGAGGTCTGTGAGATGTCTCGCCAACTGAGAGGCATTGAACACAATCTTACAGCACCGTCAACTTGTGATTACACATTCTCCAATCACGATCTCGTGAACTAGCATTATTAGTTCGGATGTCAGCACCGTTCATCCCTGGCAGTTGATCTCGTGAGCCTGTATCACTGGTTCTGAGGTGAGAGGGGTTTGCGGGGCGCGGAAAGACGGAAATTAGGATGTCCGGCACTTAGAGCGGAATTTTCTTGTGAGATTCCGCGCAAGCACAGTATTTTTAACCACTGAACTGCACTTTACACGGTATCGCAGGCCCTGCCTTCTTGAGAGATCATGGCCGGGCTCAAAGAGAGATCCGGCCACTTGCAACATCAGTACCGCGTCTAAGTATGAAACAGACGGCTCCAATGGCTTTCAGTTACGAGTTCGGCTTAACCAGATTGACGAGGGTTCATACGGTGTCTCTCCACGAACAATCATAGGTGTGCGTTGCTGAATGCGACATCGGGAGAAGCTTGGAGTCGAGTCTCTTCCAGCATGAAATAAAAGTCTACGGCTTATAAAATATGAGGATGATGACAACAATGCTTTGATGAACTTCTGACGCATCCGGTGGGTCAAACAAAGCAAAAGGGAGATGGGTCGTACTTGTGGTACTGATTATTATGGTCTACTTCTACCGGCCTTCCCACTGAATGGAGCACAGGATGAACTTCCTGTCGATGACTAATTTGACACTGTATCCAATGTTTAAGTGAGATATGTATAAGACCTCAAATTTCTAGTCCTCAAAGATGGGATAGCCAGTCGTGCGCACGCTTTCTCTTAAATCCTGCACGTTCCATCGGCGGTTCGAAATAACCCAGCACTCCCAATTCGTTATCAAGATGCGAAGCACCGCAGCATTCACAGTAATATTCGCAGCCCTGACATTCATTCAAGGTGTGCCGGCGCCACCAGCAATAGCATGGATAGGCGCCGCCGCAACATTCGGGGTTCTTGCCGGCTCGTCTACCGCGATTATCGCCGTCGGCATCAAGGACGACGAAAAGAGGAAGAAGAAGGAAGAAGATGAGAAAAACAAAGGCAAAGACAGACGTCACCAGTACGCCGTTACCTATGCGCATAGAATGGTGCGGGAAATTGCAGCCGAGATTAAAACGCGTCGAGCTCAGTCATTAGAGGAACCCGGCCTGGCTCCTCCTGGAGTGCCTCAGTACAACTGGGATGATTGCTTCAACCAAGCCCGCCAGGCAAACATATCGATCAGTGGTCCTGTTGGTGATCATGGAATTCGAGCTACAGGAGTGCCCCCTGTGTGCATGAATCTGGCCACCATGCTCGGGGGCGCTGTCAACGGCACTGGCATGCCCATTCCCTGTGGTTCGGACTGCATGGACTGGGTGAAGATGACGCCGGAATACTACGAGGGAGTAAGAAGGATGCTAAACGGCCAGACTCTAGACTTCAAGAAGACCTCCTGAAAAAAGCTAGACTGCACCGTGGGCGATTGGGCTGTTGCGAGCGGAACCGCCAAAAGGACATTTAGCGAGAGCGGAATTTGGTCACGTTGGATTGTGCGGCCTCTTCAGAGAACCACACAGACTTTTAATTCTATTTGAAAATATCGACACTTATGGGAAACAAACCGTATAGCAAAATTTCTGACGGGCAAGCTAGTCCGGGAAAGATGGCCTGAACAAATACCCAAATAGCAAATTTATGATATGTTGTGGCGTGATTTCTCTCTGGTACAGTCCACATAGTCATATGCTACCTAATACCTTGGTGCTTGGTGGTACAACTCTCCAAGATAAGTTCAACTTCATCGTCCAAGGAGTCAACGATATGACTTGGTGGAAATCGCGGGCTCCAAACCAGCTTTCTCCCATGCCCGGGAGTATACGTCGACCTAGTAAGTTCATGTGATGATGGAAGGAGGAATGAGCGACCTACTTTCCACCAACTTTGGACACCGCCGACGCCGGCTCTACATTCAACGCAGCGGACATCTTCCTCAACGCTTCATCTGTGACGGGTGCGACTGTGTCATCAATAATGACACCCCGTTCCGCCATTGCTTTGACCACAGCTGCGTAAATGTCATCCCAGCTGCCTGAGCCTGATGAAGCTAGGTAGTAACCGAACTTCCCATGATCGGGGTTGGAACCGCTCAAAATGGCTCTGGCCAGCGCGATGTAGAGCGATGTGTTGTCGGATGTGTGGCACACCGGCCATGTCTACTCGAATAATTAGCCGGTAAAACAAAAGACGTTTGGTCCGCGACGCACCTGTCCTTCAGGCCCAATCCGGTAAACGCGTCCTGCCCCTTTTGCTGCGGTGACCACATCTACCGTTTGGATGGAAATTAGGTTCCCAAAGTCCAGTCCCTTACCGTCTGTTCATGTCAGTAGTGGATTTAATGTTGGGATGTCCAGTACTTACACACAATACAGGGTGAAAAGAGGTACACCCTGACGTCGAAATTCTCGCCGGCATCAATTACTGCGCAATTGGTGGCTATAGCATTTGGAACTCTCGGCAGGGGGTTTCAGCACTTGGAATAGGAGTAACATACCACCGCCATCTCCTCAACTGGCGCCTTTTGGCCTCTCTGGATGTAATACAGATTGGAATCCGTGTCCAGAAGCGGTTTGTCTGTCGGCGCACCGGCATGCTCAGAGAACTGTTTCGTTCCAGTAGTCTGAAGGCCAGTCAGATTGTAAGTTCAGATGCTCAGCAAAACAAATTACTTGCGTAGACAAAGTGAACTTCTCGCCCAGTTGCACTTTTAACTTCACCAAGAGCCTTGATGAAGCTAACGGGTCGCTCGGCACGGTAGGCATCAATCAGGTACAACACCACGGTGATGTCGTTGCCCACGACCAGACTCCTGATATCGCCTTCCTCAAGGCTACATCTGACAGGATCAGCGCCGTAGAGCGACTTTACTGCGGCAGCTTGCGAGCCGGATCGCACCAGTGCGTACAGCTTGTCGTAACCCTCAATGTTTGCTTCCGCCCATGATGCAAGTAGCGATCCACCAAGATAGCCTGAGCTGCCAGTGATGAGTACGTTCGTCATTTTCGTCTCCAGAAAGAAAGCAGATCAAGTTCAGTGAAACGAAATCCCAAACGCAATCGGCACGGTTGCCCAAGCTGTCTTATATCAGAGATGCTAGCAGATGCGTCGTGATTGTTAATCAACTCATCGGAATCAAGATTTGTAATCAGACTTCTAGTTTGATCAGATTTGTTACAACAAATTGGTGGTAGTAGCTTGAAAGAAGATGTCATTGTTGTCAAATTCCCCACAGCACGTTAAGTAGGCTTCTTCGGCTTCTTAGATGGTAGTGAATAATCGAAGTCATGACTCAAAACGCACAAAATTGGTAAACTTCGCCTACATAACAATATCTCTACCGGAATAAATACCATTTGAAATTGCATTCTTCAAATGCCGACAATGTTCTTGTCTTGGGCTAAGCGCTACCTCAAGCACAGCTAAACTAAGCGATCGAAGACAACCACAAAGCATAACTATTCTCACGTACTGTGAGTGCAATCATCTATAGAAGCAGAGAGAAGTGCAACGAAACACTATCGAGAACAGAAAATACTCGAAACAAGTTCCCTTATCTCTCTCTCAGCCTCTGACGGTTGTGTGACGAGACGTCATTACGCGAAGCAATGCTACCTCCAGGCGTCTCTGTCGCGCAAGCCGTCGTGAATAGTGAATATCTCCCATTCCTCAAACATCCCATGCTCATGGCAATTTGAAGAAGCGGCAAACAACACCTTCGGCTTAGCACCGCGCGCCTTCCTCTGTCTCTTCCCAGCATGATGCAGGAGAAGTTCCACAACAACGACCATGTCCTACTGAGTCACTGACGAGCTTCAAGGGACTCGGAAAAGGCTAATACCATCAATCAGGCAATATACCAAAGTGTCATTGGACAGCGCATCAAACAGCTTCACCAGGAGCTTACAGACAAACTCTACCTTTTGCTCGTAAAGGGTGTTCATGATCCTGGATGAATGAGTACCTCAGGATCTATGGTATGCCCTGCCCGGCTCAGCAACTGAAGAACAAAAGTCGTGATAAATTCCAGTGGCGATGGGAATGGTTCTCCATTTACTACATCTAGAAGTCTCCATGAGGTCGGACTCCATTGGCAACAAATCCCACGCAGTTCACATGACAGAGGTACGTCAAGATAGCCTCCAATAGATAACTCCTCTATATAGCATGCCAGCAGTGTAAATTATCGTGGCAGCATACCAGAAGATCAGGGCAGTAGAATCACACTCGACGACCCCTACGTATCGAGATAGAGACTGAATGAACATTGCCGAGCATGAGAACCATTGGGCTGTCCAGTGTCAGAACGAAGCAGAGGACGTCGCAATTTCGGATCCATCCTGAGTATTGCGGGAATTTGAGCCAAAAAGAGAGATTACTCACGTGTATCGGCTTTGCAGAAAGATCATGGCAACATCTTGCTCTCTCTTTTTCGGGAGGGCTGGTGCAAGATTAGAGTGGGTCACCTTGCCATCCCTTGAAGGACCATCACGTTGGTTTTCCATGGCAGTCATCCGATTCATGAAGTAATGTGACAATGACAAGGTTAGTTTGGGAGAAGGTTGAGTGTGAAGAGTTCAGCCAGGAGGGTTGCTGGAATTTGGAATTGATGGAGGGGCTGGTGACCTGCCTAGCTAAGGGCACTCTGTTGTAGTTCATTGAATAAGCATTTAAGCCAAGATAATCGGCCGGTTCGGCACGCGATCGTGGCCACTTTGGGGAACCTTTGACCCGCAGATCTAAGGTTAATAATGGGGCTCGTGTACTTAAAAAGTAAGGCAACGGGTATCCGGCAGCAAGCTTTTGGGCTTTTGTACTTCTACGTCACAGGCAACAAGAGCCAAGAGATGAGGCTGCCCGGCACAGCTTCCGAGCGTTTCTGATGGGTCCTCGTATCTTAGCTTCTGAAGGATGTGATCCTGTCTGCTCCATAACCTGATCCATCCCAGGTGAGAGTTCAGTCTCCATCTATCCTGCGGCACGGCTACGCCCGATGCGCCAGGGGCTTAACCTCATCGACGAGTAGCCAACCAAATGATCTGCAAACCGTAGATATGAAAATTCGAGCGAATTATTAGTTTGAAAAATGATAGACAAAACAAATACACTCTTGATAAGCTTATTCATGCTCTATTTGCTCTCAAGCCCCTTGCTGTAAATCGAGCTCAAAGTTGTGCATATTAGCTTACCCAAGGATACCGATGCTTTTGAACTCACCGTGGGGATAAAAAGAGCTGCAGGATTCTACCAAATTGATATGTTATGAATGCATCACTGAACAGTGTTCCACTGACAAGGGTCTTCTGATTCTCATAGGCAGGAAACCGTCCTAGAACCTCCCCACTCCATTCACGATCTCGACCTGGAATCAGCCGCAGTCGTTTATTCACCTCTAAACGGGAGCACAGTCACCTTCGTTAGCTCCAAAAGTCCCCTTGCACCTTCCCCAAATGGCTACATAGAGCAATGAAGGAGCTCAAGCCTGGGCAGATAGGACTGGAGGCTCGAAATCGTGACATTGGTATTGTACATCAAAAGTGCTAAAAGACACATCCGTGACGCCTCATAGCAATGGCCCTTTCGTGATAATCGTGCTTTCGGCCCTGACTGCGGGAACAATAAAAGACGTATAAATCCAAAACATCGTCTTACAATCAATGTTCTCTCTCAGTCCAAGGTGCAGAATCTTACTAGCTTCACTTGGAGACGAATCACACCGCCAACTTCTACAATCTCATCATTCCTAAGCTGAACAGCTCTGAGTTGAACTACGAGAGCGTTGATATTTGCGGTGGAATGACTAGCATGTTGTAAGTTGACGCTGGTGTTCCTGTACAGTTTGTGGACCATTTGTTTCATGCCGTGTCAATGATGCAGAGAACAGAGAGACTGGCGAACTTGGCAGCGAAGATGCCCCCTACCTATGTGTATCTAGATGAAATTCATGTTCAGGAATTTTCAAGCCAACCCAGTGAGGGGGTTCACAGTAGGGTAAAAAGCAGTAAAAGCACCTCGATCAGTGATGAGTTCAGTAGCTTCGCAGCACGAGTAAACCAACTGTGTCTAGATGAACGAGGAAACAACACTATCACCTCTACCGCCTGGATTGGGCGTTGCTCTTATTTCAGCTTCACTGTCATCATGTTTTGGCCGCTTATTAATCGGGCGATTCGGAATTCCGGGCGTCGCGCATTGACACCATGAGCACCCCAAGAGTGGGTTGCGTTCTTCTTTGACGGACAATCGGAATTGCGAGCCTCCTGTTCGGCCTCCTCAGTGCCCATGTCGACCAAGATCATTGAGGCGGCCGCCCGGAGACACACGGAGCATCTTGTCGAGTAAAACCAAGAACAACTCACATCATAAGATCTTGGAGGCTGTCGGTTAGCTCCTAACTCCCCGACGAACACCCAATTCGCATGTGCTGAAGAATGTATTTAACAACGACTCAATTCGAAGGAATATGGAAACCACTGGGTTCAAGGCATTTCCCAAGTTTCCGATTATCATTTCCAATCACGAAAACTCCTTGTCTAAACTCTCTGCAAACATGCATTTGCCATCCGACCACAAAATAAGCCAGAACAGCTACAAATGGATCGCAAAAGCAGTCGAATCTCTCGACCCTGAAACCGACTACGAACTCATCTGGCGCCTAACGTCGAGCTATGACCTCTCAGACTTTGCCAACAACCTAATCTACACCCTCACCTTCCCTAATTTCGTCGTATCAAGCCATGGATCTACACCTGTCTGGCGTTCAGATGGCGGCAAAGTAGTCCACAAAGCGAGCGATCGTGTCGACAGGACGGAGCAGTACAACATGGCCTGGTGGTACTACGGCCCCAGCGACCAACGCTGTCGAGATGCCGTTGAGAGGATCAACCAACTGCACGCAGGTTTAGCGAGCCGATACCCAGACACCTTCACCCACAACGAAGACTACGTGTACACGCTCACCTTCAGCGCTGTGCTCATGCATCGTCTCCGACTACGCCTGGGGCTCTCAGGCTTTAATGATAAGCAGAAGATTGCGGCCCATCACTTCTGGCGGGACATGATGCCGTTGTTCAAGCTTGAAGGCAAAGGCGTGCCAATCACTGGCTTTCCAGACGACTTTGAAGGCTGCATTACGTTCTGTGAGACCTATGAGAACACCCCTCGCGAATATGATGAGAGGGCGCGCTATATTGGACTGTCGATTTTCAACCTCTTTGCATATCGGTACTTTCCTCCGGGGTTGCGGTGGTTTGGCATGGCATTTCCCCGTACGCTCTCGCTGACTACGACGTTGAAGTACTTCCGCATTGAGCCGGCCAATGCAGTACTTGGAGCGGTCATCGTGTTCATCGTGAGGACAATGTTCCTCATCTCAGAAGCCTTGCTGCCTGATCCTAAAGTACCCTTCTTCGAGCAACTGGAGACCTTGCCGGAGGTGGAAGTGAAGAAGCGCAAGGAGGAGAGCAGGAAGCTGGATAAATCATACGAAGCATTCATCAAGGAGAAGATGAGCGGCCCAGGGTGCCCATTCAGTGCGAAGATGTAGTAAGAGAGAAGTGTGAAAGCCCAGTCTGCAAGTGCTCGAAACAGCTTCTCTCAAGTCTAATGTATCATGAGCGTTCTTTCTACCCGTGATTCTCCACCAAGGATTGGCTGAAGTCGTTAGAGCATAATCTATATCTACTCCTGTGTCACCTCCTTCTTCAGCCAGGCTACCCAGCCCTCGTCGGCCAAAATAGATCTAACTCTTGCTTCTAACCACTCCGTGTTTCCCCAGAATCCCCAAGACGCCTGAAATCGGCACCAATCGACTAACGCCGTCTCCCAGTGGCGGACAAAAACATCCCAATCGTATTCCGATGGGCCCTTCCCTGAAGGTCTCTCCTTCAACAGTGTTGCCCGATACTGTTCCAGCAATGCTTTCTCTCCTTTATCCATCGGCAGCTGATCGGGTATATCCTCATGCTGCGTGAGCATCTCAAGAGGTACTGAGCAGGTGAAGAGCTTGGCGAGGTCGCAGGTTCCGACGCCCAGTCCGGCGTATTGAAAGTCGAAGAAGGCAACCCTGTCGCCGGCCTGCGTGGTGAACAGGTTCTCAGACTTCACATCGCCATGGATGTAGGATTCGAACGGCCTTCCGGAGGGCGTGAGAAAGTCGGCCACCAACTCGGCGACGGACTTGGAAGAACCGTCGACAGGGTCGCAGAAAGCCGAGTTCCATTCGGAGTAGTCGTCCCGACACAACGAGCCGTACTCCCTTCGCCTCGTCGCTAGGTAGGTATACCCTCCGTTCAGCCATAGTTTGGGGTCCGTGGGTGCTTGACCAGAGTTTCTGCGTTTCTGCTCGTCTAGCGGCGGCAGAAGAAACCTGTCCAGGTCGTCTGGCAGCGATGCCCACGAACTGCTGTGATACTTGGCGAGCCAGTCTAGTGCAGCTCTGACTTGCAGTCGGTTAAGGACCAGTCTCTTCTCGCCCGCGACGGGGAATTGGGGGCGAAGATCGGTGATGATGGTCGCCATCAACGACTCCAACTCGTTGGCGCGTGGCTTGCCCGTCATGTCTCGCGTCGAAGCAAGGCACTTCGCAACGGCAACTTCGTCGCTGAGTTTCGGCGCGATCTCCGAGTAGAAGTACTGCTCGACTTCGTAGCTGAGCATCTTGCGCAGGTGCCCCTCATCCCCAGCTTTGGCACGGGGCGGCGAGATGAGTTTGATAACGAGGCGATACGATCCTTGCGCGTCCGGCCGCAGCGCCGGCGAGATGGCGCCCGCGTCGAAGTTTCCGTTGACAGCGTCACTCTGACGGGCGGTAATGGCGCAGATGTGGCCGTAGCCGGCCCACAGCGTCTGGAGCTCGACGATGGAGACGAGGTCAAGGCCCAGCCACGAGAGCATGATCTCTGCGACACGTCGGGGCTCCTTGAGAGACGCCATGGTGAAGGAAACTGCTGCTGCGGCCAGAACGAGTTGGGTTGAATCAGTGCCGGTGTTCGGGAACGAGGTTGCCGCAACGAGCTGGGTGAGGTTGGAGGCAGGGCAGGAGCCGGCGGCGAGCGCCGTGTCCATTTCGAGATTGTTTCCCGGGTGGGTCCGGTGACTTCAGCGGCTCACTCAGTGAGTGGGTTTTCATTCTACAGTGAGCTGGCTCACTCTGAGAATTTCAGTCTCATCCGAATGCCTCACTTTGCTCGGGAATCATGAAAAATTGAACTTTCACCAGCCCCTTTCTCACGGACGAGCATTTGTAATCATTGATTTTTTTAGGCAAATGCCGAGAAATAAGAAAACAATAACCTAATATCGTACTCAAGCCGTGGCTTACTCCAACTCCTTGGCAGTTTCACTGGATTGACGGACACCTTATCACGGTAGATAGTGAGACCAGCTGGCAACGGCTGGAGTCTTTATCGTTCGCCACAAGAAAATCGGAGCTTGGACACCATTTTCTCTCACGGTGTCATCGTGAGAAAGACAATCACCTCCCCTACAAGACTCGAAACCTTGACGCAGGTGATCGACGTAAACGAGCCGCAGTGTGTTAAAACGGAGATATCCAATCAATTCACTGACACAGTAAGCAGTCGCTCCGGAGGCCATCAGGGTGCCGAAGACCCACCCACGAAGTTGCCATTTAATACCGAGATGCTCTTTCCACTTTCTCACACATTCCTCTGATAACACCTGCTCAACTCCTTCTCCATAAATTGTATTGAACTTCTCTGTCATGGGAAGACTTCAACCTTCAGTCGGCCAGCCGCCGGCGAGCTTCCGGAAAGCCGCCCGGGCTAAGAAGGCCAAGGTCACACTCAACCAGCTCATTCCATCTCTCCTTCCCACACATCCCCGCGCTCGCAGGGGAATCGACGCCGCAGAGCTCATAATTGAGCCAAGGCCAGCGAAGAAGCAGCTGGAGCCCTCGCAAGATGGTTCAACCAGGCCACTTGAAGCTGACTCCCCACCAAGTGTTGTCCTTCGCGTGGCGGATACTCTCACGGCAGCTCACTCTCTCATATCTGACCAACCAGGTGAGGGCCGGGTCGCCATTCTCAACATGGCTTCACCACTTACGCCTGGAGGCGGGTTCATCAATGGAGCGGGGAGCCAGGAGGAGTCACTCTGTATGAGATGTACTTTGCTTCCATCCCTCAAGGATGAGTGGTACCGGCTGCCAGAGCTTGGCGCGATATACACTCCCGACGTCCTCGTTTTCCGAGGAGAGAACTCCGACGAAGTGCTAGAGAAGAAGGAACGCTGGTTCGTCGACTGCATTAGTGCTGCGATGCTGCGGAACCCAGAGACGGACCGCGACGAGTCAACGGGATTCAGTAGCTACGTCAACGACACGGATCGCCAGCTCGTCCTCGAAAAGATGAAGATGGTTCTGCGCATTTGTCAAGCCAAGGGGGTAAAGAAGGTAGTTCTCGGGGCTTGGGGTTGCGGCGCATTTGGCAATCCGGTTGGAGAGGTTGCTTCGGCTTGGAAGAAGGTGCTTCTCCCTCGAAACGACAATAAGGGAAAGAAGAAGGGCAACAAGGAAACTTGGAACGATATTGACAAAGTTGTTTTCGCCATCAAGGACGCCGGTATGGCTGATGCGTTCGAGGAGGCGTTTGGCAAGGGGTTGACGCGGGAAGAAGCCGACGAATCAGGGGATGAGGATGAGAGTGAAGTCGACCCCGAGGAGGCGAATAGGGTTGAGCTTCAAGAGCGTATACGTGAACTGGAAGAACGCATCGAAAAGACCGTGAACCCGCAACTCAAAGAAGGATTAAGGGGGATACTTGCGGGGCTGGAGGGCCAATTGCCTTCAAAGGACAGAGGGAACGCCGCCGACGAGGTCTCCGAAGAGAAGTCCGAAGAGGAGTCCGAAGAGGAAGAAGATTAGCTTACTGAGATGTTTTGTGGAATAATTGCAGAACACCTCCAAAATACAGTACTAGGTGCATGAAGAGTCTCATTACGAGGGCCACTACCTCCATGCACAAATCATCTTGCTTCTGGCTCCGTGCTTTCTGAAAGGCCTCGGCTAGCTTACCTCAAACGTCTCAAAAGAATTGAGCGACAAGTTGAATGATCATCCTCTGCTTATGGATACTTCCGTCGGAGTCGGCGGGCAGCTCAGGCGAACAGCAAAATGTCCGATACCCGAATTTCCGAGGCTTGAATCACGAGCATAAGTTGGGCATAGTCATGTCTTCATAAAGAACACAGAATCTCCAAATATTTACGCGTTGAGCAACTTTCTCGTACGAACTTTCCTTAACTGTCCCCAAAAAGCCATTGGAGCCGCGCCTTAACCCGACTCGTTCGGGGCCCGGTATTCTCTCCGGAGTTGTTGTGGGTCACATTGCCGAAGCCTTCGGTGCGGCCCCGGCCTCAACTCCGGCCCGAGTGTCGCAACAGGGTTTACTGGCCGAACGGCGAAATATGAGTGGATCGGTTTCGGCATACAAGGCGTTGCGCGAGTAAGGCTCTGTGGACTTCGTCGCTTCAATTACGGTCTTCAGTAAAAGCCGACCATATAGCTGATGCCCAGCCCATGTGTCAGGGTGAAACACCCAATTGCCTAGGTACTGACCAGAAAGGATTCGACTCTTCGGCAAACTTTTCAGCAATTAGTTCTTCTCGCTTCCAGACGACTGCCATCCGAACTTCCTCCCTCTCCCGCGCGCATCTCCTTCGTAAACCTCTCACGATGGCGACCGCCCCGACGACCTTTCCTCAGTTCTCGAGCCTCCCCACGGAGCTCCGTCGTTCTATCTGGGAAGAAGCGGTGGCTGGCCCATCAATGCACGTCGTTGATGTTTGCTTTCCATCGCGTCGAGGTAATAGCCGCAGCAGACGTGCTTTTCAGGGGTTAACCCTTGCAGCCAATCATCACCCTCCGCGAGAAGCCTCTTCTTGGAGCAGGCACGAGTACATCGCCTTCCTCGACAGTGTACCAAGCATTCAAGATGAAGACAGCCGACCGACCATGACATGGCCGCGGCGCAGTACGCGAGACCCTAGTATGTATCTTCACAGAAGGTTTCAGCGCCAGGCCTGTCATGAGGCGGCATCGGTGTCGTCTCTCAAAGCTGCAAACATTAACACCGTCTACTTCCCTGGCCAAGCCGGAAAGTTCGAGTATGACAACGACCGAGACGTGCTGCATCTCCGCTTTTCTAGCCAGTACCACGCCGAGTATGTCGAGCAGACGAGTTCATCGCACGGCAGTCCCCATTTCAGCAGTATAGCCGAAGCTCTTGAGGCTCACTGGAGTACAGAGATGGCGCTCACTGTGTGGCAGGCACGACGCATAGCTATCGATGTCAGAGAGACATCGATGCCCTTGAGTCTAGTCGAGATTGAGTATTTGGCATCTTGTATTCAGAAAGGCTTGGAATGCATTTACCTGATAGACGATGCTGAGGAAAAGGGTCGTAAGAGTGGACCAGAGCACCTCAATGCGTCGAGTCTTCAGCAGAGAGGGAGGCTGTATCGACTACTGCATAGCAGACAGCTGAAGCAAAACGTCGCAAGAGAGCCCGACGTTTTTCAGGGCGTCGGGAAAACGTACCGAGAGGTCTTCGATTTCGAGAAACTTGGATGGACTGAGGCTCATTCTGCATTTGGCTTTGCATGTCGCCTCTCCGCGTCAATTGATGCACAACAGTATGATGGTGGCGAGGAAGTCTTCAAAGGAGTCAGGATATTACTAGCAGAAGATGACTTTGTATAGCACCTTAGAGAGCGTGCGTTGCAAGATAATCATGAGTTCAGCAAGGGTCAATGATCAAGAAAGAGATCACTTAGCTCCTTAAGTTTATGCTACTTAGTCTCATTTCACCAATTTCACGGTCAGGAATTGCGTCCCTACATGTTTTACTCAAGATGCATGTGCCCTTCCCAAGACGATAATTGGAAGAGTGACATGAGCGACGAATGAGAGTCGCGTGGATCACCAAAGTCTCAAAACCAGCTCAGAGTTGACAAGAGCTCATGTTGTCTTGGCCGTATGGGTATGGCTCATAGAAATGAATTTAATGGTTACCTTCATTGCTTTTGTTGGGCCAACACGTCTATTTCACGACACTGAAGGTTGCTTCAATAACTACCTACATATACGTGATTGGTAGACCAGGCTTCTACACCTTGTTGCCGATTCATTTAGATGCTTTCGCCGCTCCGGCTTCCTTCTTCCTGACGTCATAAAAGCCCAAACCCCAAGTAGAAAAGAACATGGCTACAGACAGGCCCGTGGTGATATACATCGTTTTCTGGAAAGCGACGGCCCATGCCTTTACCACGTTGGGTAGGTCAGCAGCAGACACCTGGCTCCTGAAAGCGGTCGCGCCCGCTGTGAGAACGGCTTTTGGGTTCACGTTAGGTGCGTGTATCTGTATCTGGTTGATGACGGTGTTATCGAAAACCGTGTTGCCAATACTGATGAGCACCGCACCGCCGAGTCCTTGTACGAAAACAAGGATGGTGAGGGCGATGGCCACCAGTGTTGGCGGAAGCGCCGTTTGAACAGCCACAATAGCCTGGCCCAGAAGTTAGCGATCTAAACCTTTGAAGCCGTGTTGTAAAACCTACCATCTGCAGTCCCAGACCTCTGCCACATCCGTATAGAATCTGGTAACCAATCCATTTTCCCGCACTTGTGTCGGTAGACCAGGTAGTTATCAGACCTGCACCAATTGAGGTCAGAATGGCCGCAAATACTGCCCACGGGAGGTAGTATCCCAGTTTGGAAACTGTTTCCTGTCAACATGTTGTTCTCTGAGAGTTTTGAACCATTGATTCTCACCCATCATGCCTGAGAGAAGAGTCATGACAATGGACCCGATGATACTTGGCAACATGTGGATGCCACTCTCCATAGGGCTGTCGCCAAGAATACTCTGGAAGTAAATAGGGATGAAGTAAGTCGCGATATACGTTATTCCAAACAAGCAAGTATTCATGGCGGCTCCGCATGCCACGACCTTGTTCTTGAACATCTCAAGTGGCATGAGAGCATTCGCGCCAGCTCGGTATTCCCAGCCCATGAACAGAATCGTGGCTCCAGCAAAACCGCAGAAGAGCCCAATGACGACGGCGCTATTCCAGGGGTATTCAGCACCACCGTAGTGGAGCGCTAGCAGGAGCTGGACGATGGCTCCAATCAGGATCCCTGAGCCTACAACATCGAACTTCTTCAGAATGTTGCGGTCAGTGAGCACCGCCGTGAACTTTGGTTTAGCCATCTGTTCAGGAATGTAGACCAATGCAAGCAGAATGCAAGCAAAACCTCCGATAGGGAGATTGATCCAGAAGCCTGTGATGTTGGTCAGAACCTGCTGGCACTAGAGACGGGCACTGCTTGATACTTGCACCAGCGCCAACTGGTGTACTGTGTTAGCGAGCCACCAATGAGCGGGCCTGCAATCAGTCCGATTTGCGAGATCGCAAGCATGGTGCCCATCATAGCGGGTCGCTGTTGAGCAGACACCATGCCGTAAATGATGATCATTGAGCCATTGAAAAGGCCCGAAGCACCAATGCCAGCCACTGTTCGCCCCGCAATGAACTGAACTGATGACTGCGAGAGGGCGCAGATCAGTGAGCCAACCTCGAATATGACTAGGAACACGATGTACGTCCACTACAACATGTGAGCGCTGCTATGTAACATTTGGCCTTGGATAAAAAAAGCTCTCACCTTGTTACTGAAGTAAGTGAAGAACTTGCCGGTCAAAGGCTGTAGAGCCGATCTTTGGTATGTGAGCAATAACGTCTAATGGTTTGACCAACAGAACATGGCTCATGACTTACACAGCTAATTGATACGAACTCACGTACCAGCCGATATCTTTGACAGAGTGAAACTCATTGGTAATAGTAGGGGTTGCCTTTGTGCACCATTAGCTATATGAGAATTGCTCAAAGAGTGTTCTGATTTACGTACCGTTGAGAGGATCGCATTGTCTAAATTAATTAGTATGGCGCTCAGGTTGAGAGCTGCCATTGCGAATAGCAGCTTGTAGCCGGTGACGTGTTTTGGTCCTTCGTTGATATCCTCTAGGGGGTCTTGGAGTTCCTTATCCGCAGCTCCCAACGTATCATCGCCCGACGTTGGCTCGATGTCTTCATTTCCGATGAATTTGGTGTCTTCAGTAAAAGAGCCACGTGACTCTAGCACATTGGGTGTAATATCACTGTTTTTGGGCTCCATTAGCTTTGAGGCGAACGATGAGATCCTGCAAGATGGATCTACAAAAATGGTGAGAACGGTTGGCTAGGCTATGAGGGTTCAGTAGTGCAGTAGTACTGAACACCACAGCGCATCGTTAAAGTGGTAATACAGGCTTAATGTGCAGGCCTTAAGTCACCGAACATTCAAATCTTCGGGGATTAGATGCCCTGGAATCGGTACACATCGCTTAAGGTTTTGACCGACTCAGCAGGTGGTATCACTCTGTCTCGCGTGCCGTCGTACTGTCGATCATCAGTGCAGAGTTCAGCATCCTCTGAAGGAAGGTACATGCCCTGGATAACATTACTTGTTCTAGAAGTCCCTTTGCCATGTGCAATTCATGCTCAGAGTCTATAGCCTCGAACCTACTGCACGGCGGTATCTTATAATACGGCACAAACAAGCTTATCCCGTCGGGTGTGCCAGCCGGCGGATGTGCGAACAAGCTGCCATGAGGAAAGTCAATACTTCCCGCACTCACTATGGAAAGTTGAGCTTGAATCGCATAGAAAGAGCTTTCTTCGCCGAGAGTCAGCCGAAGTTTCTGTTGCATATATCTTGACAGTAATCTTGCACACAATCGGCGCGGTAATCTGCACTAACCGCCGTTGAAGGCTCCCGAACGGGAACAAGACCACACCCAGTTTGCATCTGTGTCCCAGCCGTTTGTAGTTTGTAGCTTTTATCATGTGTCAACTAGTGCACAGCGGAAACCTTCAGCAGAGCATGAGTGCACATTCTGGAAGTTATCCGCGCATGCCACCTCAGGCTTTCCGGGGTTCGTTTGATGTTAGTGTTAGTACCTGTACAGAGGAACCTTAACCATGTTCGGACTCGCTTCAGTAGCCACCGAGAAGTTTCCTGGCCGACCTACCCCTCACTGATCGGTGCGGGGAAGCACAGCTTAGGGGACCTGAGTCGAAGCTAGGGGAGTGCCGGTCCAACGGTTGAATCGCGAGCAGCTTGTCGTGAGCATAGACTTCGTGGTTCGCAGCACCACGTGCGTACCACGATGAAGAAGAATAGGGCCGATTTCTACATTGCTGCTCATCACGTCCGATGGGCAAACGGTTGTTACAACAAGCTTCGATTTTTCTGCTCATTGCAGCATGCCATTTAAACGTGTTTCGCCATCTTTGTTTGCTCTCGCTAATAGATCATGACAAAATTGTCAGCGCTCGACATCGATTGCGATGTCCCAGCTGCCCCCGTAGCAATCCAAGTTCTTCCCGAAACGCAGCAGCAGCACTTTCCATAGCTCTATTGTTGTCCTTGAACTCTCCCCAAAACACACACCTGTCCGTTTCGCTGCCGGACAAAATCGCATCCAACGTCGGCTCGGTCTCTTCTGAGCTTAGCTGACGACCGCGGGTCTGGGTTTGCTTTGGGGCATCCAGACCCCCGGAACCGACACTAATGTAGTGCTTTTCTGGGACGCCAAGCTGCACGCCAAGTGTGTTGAGCTTGTGCGTTACAACCTGCATTAGCACCAAGATCCTGAGGTCGTCATCCCCATCAAGAATCACGTCTTCCACTCGCAGGTCGTAGAGAAGCTCTGCAATGTTTTCTCCGCTTTGTAGACCAGAATATACGGCAGCAAAAATCTGGCGAAATGCCTGGAAGATCTTGGCGTAACACGAGAGTAATAGCAACTTCGTCGGTCAGTCGAGAGCTAGCGGGGCTGTTCCGGACCCAGTGCGATCGTGTTTGGTAACGAGATTACTCAACGTCTGTGTATGTTGCAGAATATTTCGCAAGGTTGCCGTTGATCTGCCTTTCGCTCCTCCTGGTGAAGTCTCGGCTTTTGCACAGGATTTGACGGGACCAGCTCGAATAGACACGAAGTAAGGCTGGCCACCTCACATGTCAAGGCCGCATTGAATGAGCTTTCCGGCGGCGGGGGCGGGTCACACTGCTGGTCCTCGATTGGCGGCTCTGGTTCTTTTGGTGGAGGTTCCGAATTGTCAGATGAGGACTGGAGAGATTCACCTGAGCTACTTTGCTCCGATACTAAGTTGACAGAATTTGAGCCGTCGGAGCTCCAAGCCATCCAGTCCGTGGCAAGATCAGATGCGAAGAAGTTCATCAGCTCTCCGTCATGAGCCAAGACCCCAGATAGTGGCGGACTCTCCAAGCCGGACGCCATCTACATCAATCAGTATCGAATGAGGGCTGGGGAGTTGGGGAAGTGCACCCAGTGCTTCTACTGACCATTGCAGGATCTATTGGGGTGAGTCCTGTGTGATTCTCTTCCCATGCACCTCGCCTATCGCATGGTTCTTGCCATAGCGCCGGCGGAATGAACGAAATTCCCCTCGGATCAACCAGATGAAGTGAAGCTGACCCTGCCCTCCCCGCTCGCGATCTCGGCGGGCGACCAACGCGACGAGAATGATTCTTTCTGCATTGAACTCCTTTACGACTGCATCTCTCGCATGATGGATTGGAGCTCCCAGCGGCAGGCCAGTCGCATCGTAATTTCTGTGCTCGACATCGCTCGCAGGCTAGGCTGTTCGTGCGTTTGGAAGGATCGGTGGAAGACATGGTGGTGAGGTGCTGTAGTTTAGTTCGTGTCTTTCGGCCGGATACGAGCAAGCTTCACGTTGGCTTCAATGTGACATGAGGAGGCGAAAGTGTACGCCAGATGACATGAGAGTAAGTGCACTAGCGAAAAAGAAGAATCCGAGGATGTCGGGCCATATACGACAATTAGACGTCCGCTGCACAGTAAGTTCAATGCGTGAGCTCGAAATCGGTAAAGTAGGCGCTACTATCAGATCTAAGAAAAGAGACTAATGCGACGATGTCTGCCCATCATCACATGGGTACGATACTCGCTCAGGAGGTACTTGGCCCCGGAATGTCAGTAGTTGCATGCGGGTGCTCAAAGCTGACTCGTGATAAGGTTAAGCGATCATTAATCTCCAAAAAGACAGCCAGCATCAACTGTAGCTGGCGAACTTTAATAACCTGTAGGACGCTGTCAACGACACAAGGTGAAGCGGAGGATACCGAAGTGTCAGCACTATGCAGCAGAGATGCTCCCAGATGAGGGGTAGCTACATGTAGTGAGGGGAGCATCTTGCGGCCCTGTCTCCTCGTGTCATGAAGGAACATGTTCTGGGTTACGCCTGATGGCATATTCACGGTAAGGATACTGTGCGAAGGATGCCCCTCAAAAGCAGGAAGGGTTACGTACAACAGAAACTCCCTCAAACTTTGAAGGCGACTTGCGTTGCAACGGGACGCTGGCATCCTAGGTAGAGCTAGGTGAGGGCAGCGAGCAAAGCCTTGTTAACCCCAGCCCAAACCCTTAAGCCCCGTCTGTATTGCCACGGGAAAGGTGAGAGCTCCATGGAACACATGGCACTTTTCGCTATCTGCATTCAGCCTCAGAAAGACGGAGCTCAGGCCACCGGGGGAGATACCGGTACTCAGACAGATACTCGGGTTGCGGAGCGTGGGGGATTTCCGGGGGTCGCGACATGCACCTTCGCGATCATAACATCGTATCAGGGAGAAAGTAAGTCGCGGTTCCACTGTAAGCAAACAAGCTTTGTGGCAACATACAATTCCAGAAATCTCCTTGGTCGAAAGACTCAATCGATTTGTTTAACTACGGACCAACCTCTCAGCATGTAGCAAACACCTGAATGCAACGTCAAGGGACATGGTCCGAGTTGCCAGCTCACGTTGCTGACAGCTAGCACAACCGAAGCTTATGCTTTCGCGTTCTGAACTCTATTGTCACAACTGACTCGCCGTCCTCACCGAATATCAGCCAAAGCTCATCCCATTACTGGGTTAATCACATCGCAAGGCTGTCCACACCACACCCAGTACCATGCAGCTGGTAAAAGGTTCTCCTTTTAAACTTCATGTTTCGTCACTGAGAAGGTAACTACCCCTTTCAAAAGAAAGAAAACTACTCAAAGCAGTGTTTCGGGGTGGCGGAAAACCCAAACCAATATCGAACCGCTTCATAATGAAGACTAGAACCCCAAATCAGCCAGCCAGGTCTCTGCACGCGCCTTCATTTGACCCATCATTCCAACACCATAGACCAGCCAGATCTTCCACCTTGCGAGCTCTTCCGGGAACTCCGCTTCTTCGGAAAAGGCACTTCCTAAGTATTGACACCCCCCGGTTTCACCTCCAAAGACTCTGTTTGTGAATACTGCCAGACCTGTATCTCGGCCGAATGGCATTTGAACCTTAACATATTGGTGTTCCAGCTCGAAGCGCCATTGCTTGCCGGCTGACCGCAACTCAACGATATGACCGGTCGAGCGTCCAGCAACTGAAGCACGAGCCCCACGTCCATGCTGAGTTGCCAAGACTTTTACATAGTCTCCCTCCGGCGGTTCATTAATAGGCGGTCCGCTGGTTTGTGTCGAGGCGAGCTTCTGTCCACTTTTGAACAATATAGCCGTGTAGTGAGGGGTCCTGCCGCCGACTCTCGACGTGGGCTCCCAGTAGAAGAACGAGTACGGACCGGCAGTTCCGCGGATAATGCGGAAGCCCCAGATGATCTTGAACCAGTTGTCTGTGGCCCACAAGTGGAAATGGCCGCCCATCCCGGAGTACGACACCGACCCACCCCGGCGTCCCTTGATTGTCAAGTTACCCCGGACCTGGGCAGCAGGGACGGTGCCATGCATGTGGAGCCCCGGTGCCACCTGTGATGAGCTTCGCGGCGACGCGTGTAATGTTCCGTCGGGGAAATGGCCCGGGGCCGAGCCGGCGAGGAGGAAGCTTCCGTGGAACTTGGGCGTCCTCACGGAAAAGGTGGTACTGGCTCCGATTTCCGTTTCTCTGGGGACGCGAAATTCGAATGAGTGGCTGTCAGACGTCCAGGTGCTGGCCACGAAGTCTCCGCAGTCGTAGATGGAGGATTCGTCGACAAAAGCAAGCTCTTGGATCTTGGTGCCGTCTTCCAGCAAGGCGTAAAACTCAACATGGAGGTTGCCCTGCCCGAA